TACATTGCATTAAGTATATCATGCCATTCTCTTCTGGCCTGTTAGGTTTCTGTTGAGAAGTCTGGTGATAGCCTGACAGGTTTTCCTTTGTAGGTGACCTTTTTTTTCTCTCTGGTTGCCTTTAATAGTCTGTCCTTGTCTTTGATCTTTGCCATTTTAATTATTATGTGTCTTGGTGTTGCCCTCCTTGGGTCCCTTGTCATGGGAGTTCTGTGTGCCTCTGTGGTCTGAGGCCATTTCCTACCCTAGTTCGGGGAAGTTTTCAGCAATTCTTTCTTCAAAGACACTTTCTATCCCTTTTTCTCTCCTTCTTCTGCTTCCTATGATGCAAATATTGTTCTGTTTCGATTGGTCACACAGTTCTCTTAATATTCTTTCATTCCTGGAGATTGTTTTATCTCTCTCTGCATCAGCTTCTCCGCATTCCTGTTCTCTGATTTCTAGTCCATTAATGGTCTCTTGAATCTCGTCCATTCTGCTTTGAAGTCCTTCCAGAGATTGTTTTATTTCTGTATTCTCCCTCCTTAGTTCTTGCATATTTCTCTGCAAGTCCATCAGCATGGTTATGACTTTTGTTTTGGATTCTTTTTCAGGAAGATTGGTTAAATCTATCTTCCCAGATTCCTTCTCAGGGGAAGATGAAGAAGATGTCTGGGTTAGTCTTGTCTGGATCAAATTTTTTTGCCTTTTCATGTTGATAGATGCAGTGGTATGCTATTGACTCATCTCTTAGCTGGGAGAGCCAAGACTCTTTCCACTTGCTCCTGGCCTTTCTTTACTGGGACAGTGGTGACCCCTAGTGGCTTGTGTTGGGCAATTGCGTGTAGACTGGGTCTCTGTATCTTGCCTGGCCTCCATGGAGGAAGCTCCCTTGCTGTGGGTGTGGCCAGCCTCAGGCTGCTGCTCTGCTCTGGCGGGGCCCCAGAGGGGAAATGGACGGGGGGCCGTTTGGCTGTTTACTGATGTGAGGGGTCTCAGAACTGTTGCCCAGGGGGTTAGTGTGCCCGGAGTTCCCTGGGATTCCCAGATGCTTGGCTAAGTGTCCCAGGACGCTTCCGTCCAGCTGTGGGGTCCATGTCCCTTTAAGACTTTCAAAAAGCACTCGCTTTTCTTTGTCCCAGGGGTGCCGGCTACAGGGACCCGCTCACAGGTTTTACTGTCGTGTTTCCCTAGTTTCCAGCACCCCACGCACACACTGTGTGACTGTGTTCCAGTGCAGATGGCTAGGGATGGCCGCTCCGACTCCTCTCCTCCCACCGGGAGCTGGGGTGAGGGGCCTTGGGTCCCCCCGAACTGCAGTTTGTATCTTACCCCCTTCATGAGGTGCTGTGTTCTCGCAGATGTGGATGTGGTCTGGCTGTTTTCCTGTGTCTTCTGGTCTCTATGGATAGTTGTATTTGTTGTATTTTCAAAAATATATATGTTTTTGGGAGGAGATTCCCACCGTCCTACTCATGCCACCATCTTGGCTCCACCTCTATCTCTGGCTACTTTTGTACTAAAACAGCAGAGTAATGTCTGGCCTGCAAGCTGAAAATATTTACAATCTGTCCCTTTATAGAAAAAAGATAACTGAGCCCTGGATGAAACAGTGAATTTCCCCAGTAGTGCCTCATTTTCAGCCTTGTAAAAATCATCAAAAAGTTCATCTAATTTTTTTCCTGATAATTGATATATTTCTTGATAATATTAGGCAGGATAATGACTCTGGGACAGTACATTTCATCTGTCCACGTTCATTTGCCCTTCAAGAAGTAACTGGCAGGAGAGGGCTATAAATGCACATATGTTTGCAAGTGTTGACTCATTTACTTTATTCTATGAACAATGAAATTTAAGAAGCCTTTTGCTTGGTTTTATTGTGACTGATTATTTTGCTTTAAGTTTGGCTCTTGTCATTCCTTAACCACAGACACCCACACACACAATCTTTATTGCCCACAGAGAGTGTTTTACAACAGTCAGTGCTCTGCTTAAGTTTGTCAAAAATCTCTGAACTAAGATGTCTTGTGACTGCCCTTCATTTAACCCTTTCTCATCTGTGGACAACCGGGCAGATTCAGTGACTGCTGCCCAGTTTCAAGCAAGAGTCATTCAGACCAATTCTGGATAACCTTAACGTTCATGAGAAAAAGGAGGGCAGTGTTTACAGAATGCAAACACATGATTTTTATAATCACAGTTGTGAATATACAAATAAACATATAAACACAAATGTGCCTGGCTTGTCACTGTTCTTTTCCGATATTTGCTACTAGCAGATTTCCCCTCTTCACTTCCTCACCTCGCCCTCTGCCCTCTGCCCTCGTGGCCCTTCTGTCTGTCTGCATCCTGCATTTACGTCCCATTGCACTCACTTCTCCTTGATCCTTCGCCGCTCACCGGGGTTCCTGGGCGGGGTCAGTCGCATGCTGGGAGTGTGGCAGGCAGTGGCCTGTATGACCCATCATTTAAGAAGTCTCTGGACTTCCTTCTCCTGTCTACCTGTTCCCCATCCCCTGTTCCTAGGAATAAGGATCTCCTTTGAACACAGTGAGAGGAGGTGGCAGCCACATGTGGGAGCTCTGGATCCCTGAGGCTGGGGGCAGGAGAAGGAAAGAAAAATGCAAGAGGAAGAAGCAGCACCCTCCACAAACAGGCTGGGCTGGAGAATCATATTCCTTGCTGGGGTGCCTTCACTTAGGACTATTTCCTCTTGCTTTTTCATGTGGAAGAGGGGGCGGAAACCCAAGTGTGGGGGCATTTGTGATGTGGCAGGCACAGTGGGTCACACTGTACGGCTGGCAATTCAGTTACTGCTACAGTTTGTCCATGTTTCACAGGCAGAGAGACTGAGCCTGCGCCTGTTAACTTACCCTCAGCCACAGACAGAGAGGGAGGAGCTAGATCTGAAGACATGGGCAGCTGCCAGCAGCCATCAAGGCCCACAGCGCATAGGGAGCCTTCAGCCTGAGCCATACATTCTGCGTTCCAGAAAGGATCTGATTGCATTTGCACCCTCAGGGGCAGAGGGCTGTGACTGGCACATCCTTATCATTCAGGCTGTGTGCTGCATGTAGAAGCAGGGCTCAGTGTGAAGAGAGGTTTCAAAGACATGTTTTTCAGTGGACTTTCTTTAAGCTTTTCTGGTCAACAATGAGGTCAGCAGGCCCAAGGTCATTGGTCAAGATCGGCTGGACCAGTTGAATATGTTTATTCCCTAACAATTACTGCAGCCTACTATAGGATGAGTATCAGAATAATCAAAGCTGGAGGGATGATTTGAAAATGAGCATAAAGAGTTTCACTTTATTTTTTAGAAAGTATTTCTTTGATCTCGTCAAACTGTGTCTCCACTTTATCAGTACACAAACTGTTTTGTGCTGTGACTTTAATATGGCTTATAAACTTCTGCAGATTTACTTGCCAAAACTTCTTTGACTGTACATTTCTTAGGATTTATTCTGTCATTTTAATATTATGTTTCTATAATCCAGATAATTTCCATATGCTGCTCTAACTGTAAAGTGTACGGAATGCCCTCAGGTGGACCCAGTGTTGTCTCGTCAGCCTCAGCTGTCCTCAGTGAAGCCTTCATGTGGTGTCTCTGTGTAAAGTTTCTTCTCATTGCCCAGGTGCAGGTAGAACACAGGTTCCCTGCTCTCTCGCTGCTACAGGCCTCCCCCCACCAGGGGGTCTCTGTGTGAACGCTGCACTGGCCTCTACCAGAAATTGGGAGGTAGCTACTTTCATTCATTTCTTCATTTCTAGGAGACTCCCACTCCTCACGCCTTCTCTATGTGTCTAAGGCTTGTCCTTTAACAAAGCCCTGCCACATGCTGCCTTCCCCATCATGTCCTTGGATTTCCTTCTCTGTCCTTATCACATGGAACTGGGGCTCTGTCACTCAGTACCTTGTATTAGAGCAAGTCAAAAGCACATCTATTCCTTTGCCTTGAATGGAAACTCTTGGAGATCGCAGATCATGACATGCATATAGTCATCCTCCCATGTACCTTTGATGGATCGATCTGGTTGTTTCTGAAGGAGCAGACATCTGAAAAATTACATACATTCTGAAATAAGCCAGGTGGAGAGAGACAAGTACCAAATGATTTCACTCATATGTGAAGTATAAGAGCAAAGGAAAACTGAAGGAACAAAACAGCAGCAGAATCACAGAACCCAAGAATGGACTAGTAATTACCAAAGGGAAAGGGACTGGGGAGAATGGGTGGGAAGGGAGGGATAAGGGTGGGGAAAAAGAAAGGGGGCCTTACGATTAGCATGTATAGTGGCGGGGGGGTGCACAGGGAGGGCTGTGCAACACAGAGAAGACAAGTAGTGATTTTACAGCATCTTACTACACTGATGGACAGTGACTGTGAAGGCGTATGTGGGGGGAACTTGGTGAAGGGGGGAGCCTAGTAAACATAATGTCCTTCATGTAATTGTAGATTAATAATAAAAAAAGCAAAAAAAATTACACACATTCTGTATTCCAAAAGAAAGAATCTAAAATTGAAAAGATTAAATGAGTCATAAACTCTTCTCAATACCAGAGGTGACAGCAGCAATCTGAAAACTGGCACATGATCCAGCTGCCTTGGCAAGAATCTGTATTGCTTTGAGCTTCAGTTTCCACTTAAACAACAAAAAAAAAGGGGGGGTGGTGGTGAAAAATAACAGCCTTGTCTACTCCTTAAGGTTTTTATGAGGATGAAATGAGATGTTATATTTGAAAATGTTAGAAATCATAAAATTGTTTCAAATATAAAATCGCATTGTCTTAGTGAAGAAAACATAATTGGGGTTTAGATAAAAACAGTTAAATTGTGAATAGTTTTAAGGGGACCATCTGAATTTTACATCATAATCTGTAAAGCTGGTCTGTAGCTAATTTTGCTAACCCAGGAGATTTTGAAACAGGACCCAGTGGTTCTTCCCAAGAAAGCCAATGTATCTTCTCCATAATTCCTGCGTAACCCAAATTGTGTATCTTTATTTCTTTTCTGTAACAGGCTTCCACCTCTATCACAAGTTGCCCACAATAGTGCCTGAGAGCTGCCTTCTCATAATGGTTGGACTTCTACTAGGCGGGATTATTTTTGGAGTTGATGAAAAGTCCCCACCTGCAATGAAGACCGATGTGTTTTTCCTGTATCTCCTCCCTCCCATTGTGCTTGATGCCGGCTATTTCATGCCCACTCGCCCCTTCTTCGAGAACATTGGCACCATTTTCTGGTATGCGGTGGTAGGGACGCTTTGGAACTCCATAGGCATCGGGGTGTCTTTGTTTGGTATCTGCCAGATCGAAGCCTTTGGCCTGAGTGACATCACCCTGCTCCAGAACCTGCTCTTTGGTAGCTTGATCTCAGCTGTGGACCCCGTGGCAGTGCTTGCCGTCTTTGAGAACATCCACGTCAACGAGCAGCTCTATATCCTGGTCTTTGGAGAGTCCCTGCTGAACGACGCAGTGACAGTGGTGAGTATCACAGTCACACTGCATCACTTCGATAGGGGGGCCGCCTGCCAACCCCCATCAGCTTCCTGGCAGGGAGGACCCTCAAGCAGAGCGTGCACCTGGGCAGTCACATAGCCTGGCCCCCAAAAGGGCCCCTCACTGAGTTTAATGCTCTTGACCATTTTTTAAAAATTCTTAGTAATTTTTTAAATGGATCACTTGTTTTTCATATATTATTATGCAATGGGCCCTCATTTTCATTTAGCGTCAATGAATAGCTGGTCTCTCCTTGCAAGGTTAATGCCAGAGGAGCTTAAAAGTCACCTGTGTATCTCTGAGGACCTCTCACTTGGTATTTTCAAAAGGGATGGCTTTTGATGGGAATTGAAAGGACTTTAGGTCCCAGAATCCTTTGTGAGATGTAATATATGATTTATATATTGCTGTTCAGTTATGTGTATGTGTACAATATGTTCGTATGTGGTGTGCATAATACAAGTGAAATTCAAGTAGCATGAGGGGATTGCCATTCTTTACCTGGGAGGGCTTATTTATTATTTTATGACTTTAAGCAAATTTTTCATCACACATTTACTCCTTGTTACCACTCAACCAGCATATTTCTGATCCTCACCATTTTCCTGTAAGTGGCATCTATTCAGAAAAAGGAAATTATTTTTAATTCTCATGAATTAGCACGTAATTAGAGTAGAGGCTGCTGGGATCATATTCTTAGAAGAGTTACTTCCCTCCTGCCTTCCAACCTCAGGCAGGGTGTGGAGAGAAGGGCTATGGAAGCCTCCCTCCCTATCCACAGAGTCAAAGAGTTCCTGTACCAGAGAAATGCATGTAGGTGACCCTGGAGTGGTAAGATGGTTAGGGAGCCCCAGGGACTTTGCTTCACCTGAGCCACTATTTGTAGTAGTAATGGTGGTGATGATAGCCAGTAACCTTTTGGGAATGCTTACCTTGTGGTCTAATCTTTATGACAACCCATGAAGTAGTTATTCTCCCATTCTTCAGATAAGAAAACTGAGGCAGAGAAAGATTAAAGTGTTTTTAAATTTAAGTGATTTACATTACTTCCTTCATCAGTTTCCTACCATTAAAATGTTATTCCTGATTCATTTAAAGGTTAACATAGAAACCAATCTTATTCTCTCTTAGCTGATATTCAGACCCCTGGACTGAATGAACTATCATCTTTAAGGATGTCCGTTATCTTTATGTGGACATTATTATGTAGAAAATAATTTATTGGTAAGGAAATCCCTTTTTTAGAATAGCTGCTAAGACAGCTATTTTGAGACAGCTAAGTCGCCTTGTTCAAGTAACAAATGCACTTCATTTATTCCATTATTTGTTAACAGTGATTAGTCATTAACTTACCAATATTAAATTTTAACTGGGAAACTGCTGTTAACAATGAAGACATTTTATAACTTATTCTGTTTTCCAGAGGCATAAAGTTTTCCACTGTGACTTGTGTTTGATATATACATTTCACCCTTGTTGAGGAGGATTGCAGACATTTCAATAAGGCATTCTTGGATCTGTTTAGTGTATAGGAAACTTACAAAGAAATAACAACACTTTGCTACCTTCCTTCTAGGGCAACAGCGCCACGCCAGGTCAGTTTCGGAATGACATGCCATGCCTGTACGCTGCTTTCTCTTCTTTCATAGAATTTCCCATTCAGACACCTCAGTGGTTCATTCTTTGAGCTTGTTACAAATCAAATCTCAGGAAATGAGCTAACTAACACACCGTTCAGTATGCAAAGAAGGCTCAGGATTTCCAGAGGCACTTCCCGTGCTTCCTGTCGAGGGGCACAAGCCATCAAGGGTGGTTTTATGGTTTTATGGACAGAGCCCGAGGGCTGAGCAGGAAAGGGCAGTGGGCCAGACTGAGGGCCTGCCACTGCAATACAGGAAGGAGGGCAAGGACAGAGAGAGGGCATGGCTGCTCTTCACATGTGGAAGCCCTTGTTCCACGGCCAACGCCTGTAGGTCAGAACGGCTGTATTGGTTTCACATGAACGAGCTCTCCTCCGGAGGTCACACACCCTGGGCTGGAAGCCCATGACGCTTAAACCCACACCCACAGGCTTTCTGGGCATGCCCAGGAGTTTCATCTATCTAACTCTGAAGAATAAGCCACCAGATATTTCTCTCACTGAACTGGCTGAAAAGGGGGATGAATTGACCAAGTGTTCAGAATAATTAGAATGACAGTATAAAAAAATTATAATTTTTCCTCATAGTTAAGTACCCTCAAAGAATAGAGGTGGTGGTGTTTTAGGGGAAGAGTCTTTGATTAACTCATCTAGTCTTATCTGTAGAATCAGTTTAAAGAACTCAGGGAATAGGGAAAGGTATGAAAAATATGGACCATACCACATACAATGAAAATGATGTCGCTAGGAACTGCAACTGGAAAAAGTGGAGATTCAACTGAGATTGAGGTTAAAAATTTAGTCTGGAGGATGAGTGAAATTATAGGCTGGTGCAATTAACTCCTTCTCCAAATCATGGTAAACTCACTATGAGGTAGAATTGTTGACGGGAGAAAACCTACCAAAAAAAAGTCTCAAAGCAAAGAGAAATTGGTAATATATTTTGCAGTCACACTTCTGTGCTGTTGTCTAGAGTAGATTGGAATTAACCAGAGAAATGACAGTTAAAAAAATGAAGGTGAAATTTTTAAATAGGATTTTTGTCTTTTCCCTTATAATATTTTATGGAAACCTCTCAAAATTCCTCTTATTAGGCAAAAAGTGCTCAGGTGCTGTTATCGGAGAAGTCCTGCTATTTCTACAGTACTCCATCATCAAATGATTTATGTTCACATGGTCATTTCCAACACCATGTCTAGAACATTTTAATGCAACCATTAAATATTCTAATACATTTTACAAGAACACTTAAAGGGTTTCCTCAATCTGCTGTGAAACTAGACATGGTTATGGAGAGCTGGCTCTGTGGAAAAGCTAGGGATGTACCCATAGGGCCCAGTCATTATGTTCTCTACAGTGGACTTTAATTTCAGGAAGTGACCACTTGGTACTAATTTTGCTCTGGAAAATAGAAGAATAGATTTAAAACTCCTTTTGAAAAAAATGATTTTTCTTCATGTTTCAAATCAGAAAAGGTGTCCTGAAAACTACTTTTCTGGAACAGAGCTAGTCTGATAAATAACAGTATCATTGGCATCCTTGTGTTATATGATTTCATTGAGTTATAGCATATTTTAAATCAAAGTCTAAAGTAGATCACTTCTAATTTTAATATATGTATTTCAATAGTAATAATAATGAGTAGAAGGATTTGAAAGTACTCAGCTGTGAAATTAGATCATTACAGAATTTAGCAAACAGTCAGCCATGGCATTTCATTCTTCTAAAATTATAATTGTCAGGTTGAGGGTGACTTTGCACAGACCAGCTAGAAACATAATTGTAGCCCACATGCACATGCATAATACATAATATATGATACATATATTTAATATATATACCTAATACATATATATAATATGTATATGTATACATATTATACATATTTAAGTTATGGCTTAAGAAGCACATTATATAGATTTCCTTGTGGTAAAATTAAAGGGTTTAACTGGGATGAACTTACTATGGGTTATGGCCAGCTGTAACTAAAAGAATTTTATCTTGTGCTGATCACTAGGTATCAGGTTCAGTGTACAGCAGGTGGGAGGTTATGGAAATCTTTCGGTTGTCAAGGTAACGTCTCTACTTAAGCTATTTCCTCGTAACACTGCCTGGCATCTGAGGCAGTGGAATGATCAGACTGGAGTTCCTGACCTGTGTACTGAGAGTAAGGTGCCTATGAGTCAGCTTTGCTCTCTACAACACCCAGAGGAGCATTCAACACAGAATGAGCCTTTGGCAATTTGATGGAGTTGCCAGGAAGAGCTTGGGAAAGATTATGACTGTGTGCCGGTTCCTCAGGCAGGACACCTGGGCTCCCTTGGGGGTCTCATCAGTGCACTGCCAGGGTGGGGCAGGGAGAGCAGGGAGAGGGAGACATGGTCCCGTGCACAGGGATGACCAAGGTCCTGGGGAAGCGAGGTTGGCGCCAACAGCTCAGGATGGTGTATGTCCAAATGCTGAATGGGCTGGGAGGTCATCTATGCTGCAGGAGGGCCGAGGAAAGGGCAGTGTATGAGGACTGTAGGAGCCCAGGAAGGCTCTTGAGTGGAATGGCAGCTTCAGCTGGGCCATGAAAGATAAAGTTTCCCTAGTTTAGCGGCTGGGTTTCTGCCAAGAGAAACCGCAGGAGGAAACCAGGGGCAGGGAAGAATAAATGTGGTATGTTTTTCAGAGCAGAGGTAAGACCTTCTTTCAAGTTGAAGGGTGTTGGAAAGCAGTAAAACAAAACAAAACAAAACAGAACAGTGTATGGAACCTTCCCAGAGTCAGGCAAAACTTAACACTTGAGAATTAAAAATGGAATAGCAATATTTAAAGGAAGGGAGTCTTAGGGCAGCTGTAGGGGCATTAGAACAAGAGAGAGATGAGATTTGCTGGTGCTTGCGCCAGAGGCTGTCTTTGCAGAAGTGGCCAGCTGAGAAATGTGTCTCTCCTCAGGCAGCAGGTGACTGTTACCTTTTGGCCTTGGATGTCTGGAGGCAAGGCATGTATATAGCACATCTGTGATCCTCTCTCAGGAAGCAGCAAGCCTCTGGTTCAAAGTAGGAAGTGGCTGCTACTTGAAGCTAGTTTCTTTTCTGGCAAATGATGATACCTCCAAGATATATAAGTCTCCAGGGGCATGGGTTGCTTTTTTCTTCTCTTATTCAAGTCATCTCTTCAAGGTATGATACCAAAGGCTCTTGAGTGGTCTGCAAACAATTAGGAGAATGGAAAATTCCATTCATTACTTAGTAATAACCCACCACTCTTTAAAACCAGCAGACATTCATTGTCACCTATTAGGCAACACGGAAGAATTAAGTCATAATAAGGTGTGATCCTTGACTACGAGGAGTTTATGATCCAGTAGCAAAGAGGAAAGTGTTGTGCAAAACTGGTAATGTGCTAGGCTGTGAAAGACCACGGGTGAGATGGGAAAAGTGATGTGGCTTTTTGCCAGGGTGCACGCTGGGTTAGTCAGGGAGGATTTGACTCAGTCTTCTGTGGGCAAACCTTGAAAAACATACCAAAGAAGTTCAGGAGACCTGGATTCTGGTACTGCCTTTGACATTTTGTGTGACCATGGACAAATGGATTCAATTCTGAGTTTCCCAGAACCTAATAAGGGTGCAGCATGGCCTGTATTCTGAAAGACCTTCACCTCCAGCATCCTGTTTGCCAGCTCTCCTGGAGATTCTGGCTGTAAATATCACAGCAGAAAGAAGCTGGATGCCTGCTTGGCTTGTATTTTACTTGCTGGTTTTGTGAGAACAGTGGTAGGGCATAACCGATTTCATTGGCTCAGGGCCTTAGAAACACCTTGGAAAGGACATTGCCCAGCTGATATGAAGTGCCTGGCATTTTTGAAACCTCAGTTAAGCTAAAGCTGTATAAAGAGTGTAGATTTTTTAGAGACCAAGCAGCAGTGTAAGCTCATTATTTTAGAGGGACAATGTATGTGTGAAATCACAGCATACACACAGACACACATACATGCACACACACACACACAACACAGGTGGCTGCCTCTTTGCTTTGGGAAAATTCCTTCCGACATGTATGTGTGGGCAGGGTGAGGAGCTGGGGCTGGAATGAGGAGCTCAGTGACCTGGCAGGAGGATATCTTCCGGTCATTTACTGGTGGGCGAGTCCCTTCCATGGGATGGCCCCACGATAGGGCCTTGAAGATACATAAATCCAGCTACACTGACAAGCCTTCTTCATGACGTCCTACTTCCTAAGCATCTGTAATACAAAAAGGGCCTGTTGGATGGCATCTTTAAAAATAATCGGTGAGATAGTATGTAAAAAATAGTGTTTTAGGAATAAGATGTGTAATGATTTTGAAGTCTCCTTCACCTTCAAAATAGTTTTCCTGACAGCACCCTTTTAATAAAGCTTTGTGTTTAAAACTACTCAGTACAACCTTAGAAAATGAGATAAATAAATGCACAGTTATTGGCACCAACCACCATACGCTTGGGTAGACAGAAGAGATGTTCTCATTAGAAGGCCAGGCAGGTTTTTCTATGGCCACTGCAATAATGGGGAATTTGGAGGGGGACTTGACGATGCTCTTTCTTTCTCCCGGACAGGTCCTGTACAACTTGTTCAAGTCTCTTTGCCAGATGAAAACCATCGAGCCCATCGACGTGTTTGCTGGAATAGCGAACTTCTTTGTTGTAGGAATTGGTGGGGTGCTCATCGGCACCTTCCTGGGATTTATAGCGGCATTTACCACTCGGTTCACGCATAACATCCGAGTGATTGAGCCACTCTTTGTCTTCCTGTACAGTTATTTGTCCTATATAACAGCCGAAATGTTTCACCTCTCAGGTATCATGGCGTAAGTATGTAATTCTTTGTTAAAAGCATTTGATGGTGACATTTCACTGGCTTTGTGTATGCTAAGCTAAGAATTTAACATTGAGTACATACCATAAAATATTTTCTTCAACTCTTTTAAGAATTAAAAATAGATTTCCCTAACTCTTTGTTTCAAAGAAATGAAAGTATCTATCAGCTAAATTTATCCAAACATGATCTGGTGTTAAAATGGAAAGCTACTTAAAAGTTAGCTCTTGGGTCTCATATGAAATATGTCAATAAACTCTTGGGGTTCATTCTCAGGCACCAAGAGTTTTCTGCATTTGATGCTCAGTCAGTCTTGTTCATGTGGGAGGCTATAAAGTTATTCCAACGAGGTTGTATAACTCGAAGTGCAGCTGAAGTTCTGGTATCTCTTATGTATATTCATTTGAATAACATTAGTAGAAAACCTTTACTTTGTATGATATATCTGATTTGAAGTATAGCTTTAAGTCATTCAAGCCAAAATTCAATGAATAAGGTATGCAATCATGTTGTTGTAGTTCAGCTTTTTAAATAGAGTTATGATTACAAAGCAAGACATTATTTATTTATTAAAGGTGCAGTTAAGAGTATCGCTCACTCACTGATTTGGAAGGGACACTCTCAACAAGTTCTTCAAGTGGGCTCTAAAGGAGGGGAGTCTTTGGGTCCACTTTTGGCCTCTGGAGGGTCACTCTAAAGGAGGCTGCTTATTGGGTGTGGATGTTTTTGTAGCTTCCAAAAATAAGCCTATTATGGTCACACCCTGTATAGACTCCATGAGAAATATTTGGTAATGGAATGTCTTTATAAGTTTTCATCATGACAAATATTTCCTTATAGGTTAATGTACGTGATGCTCTATGTGAGGGCCTAACTGTACCATTTGGAGTGTAAATTGTAAACATACAACTAGCTGTTCTTGACGTTTTCTCTTGCAGCCTGATTTAGGCAATGCTTTAGTTAAGGCCTGTTTTGTTTTCTGCCTCATCTCACCACCTTTGTAACAGCAGCAGATCAGGTTTGTAGTGGAGGATGTTAGGAGCCTCTCCACGAGGAGAGGGAAACCCATTTGTAATGACAGCCATGAGTTAAAAGGTGGTGTGGTTTTCTGTTTCACAGAGAACCTAAATAAAGCAACATATTAATCCAGTTTGACCCAGTAATGAAATGTTCTGCACATCTTCCTGGTTGCTATTCATATCATTTGTATGACTTCCAGTTTCCTCACTGTTCTTTGGCCAGTGTCACTGAAAGTGTCCGATCAGCTAGTTACAAGGTCTCCACAAAGATTACAAGGGGTGGAACTTTGTGTCTAGCTTCCCAGCAGTGAAGCAACAATTGGTATGAGAATCTTGAATATATTTGGCCATGTGCAAGTGTAAAAGTTCTAGAACACCCATACAGTTATCTAAATGTATTTGCTGACTTGCCTAATGTTCAAGGGCAATAATTGTGATGGGAAGATCCAGAGGGTGCGGGGTTAAATGAAGCGCTGGATACAGTCTGAGTCCTGGTGCATTTCTGCTCTGAAACATCTGTGAGGTTGGATCTGTGAGGTTGGAAACTGCATCAAGCCCCCGACTTCCTGTGAAGACGGGATCAGGGGTTTCTTTGCTCTGACAATTAGGAAATCAGGCACAAATAGGGCTACATATTCTTGGCAAATAGCACTGGTGGTTCTCTGCTGTGTTTCTCTTGGGGGATTGAAAACATTACCTTTGTTTCCAACTTCAAAATGAACATCTACTTTATGACTAGCAGACTACAGGGAAGTCCTTCATTACATTTAGACTAATATTGTCATTGTGCATAGCACACTAAAATGCTAAGTTAACCATGAAATGAGACATTACAGGAAATTTAAACACCTTTGGATCTAGAATTACCATGCACACACATCATCCTATGATAGCAAATGAAGGGGCATATTGATGTTGGGAAGTGTTTGTTCTCAGAAGTAACATCCTCTTTTCTAATGTGGGGTAATTAGTATGCTATTCAAAACTTGGCCATGTGTGATGCGCCTGTATCATATACACCCTAGATGTGTGTGTTCCCCCTTTGGAAAGGGCACCATGTGCACTTCCACCTTGTAATTACTGCACTCACCTTGGGATGTTGGTCCAGAGGACTCGGTCTAATGAAGCAGTTAAAATCATACATCCATGTGTACCTCTTCTCCAGAGCTAGTCATTTATTTCTGCATTTAAATTGTACTGAGTTTAGAAATTCCCATCATACTTCACGCTAATTGTACTTTCTTTTGCCATTTAAAAACAGATTTTAAGGTTAATAGGAGTGAAGGCATGTGACTTGCTGAGCAGACTCACAAAGTTCCCTTGTTGACGAGCAATGGGCAGCCATGTACAGGGCACATGGGCAGAGGGCTCAGTAGCTGGTGAGCTGAGAGGCAGGGTGAATCTCTCAGGCCCTGCGACTGTGGTTCTGCCCGAGTTTTGCCTGCCCTCCTCCCTTTGTCCATCCAGCTTTCCCTCCCCTCCCCGTTCCAGTTGCCTTTCAGCTCCTGTGATCCCCGTGCTTCAGAGCTGTCTTGGGCAGCATGTTCTAGAATGAGCTCACCTAATGAGCAGTTAGTTCATACAAAAGTCTGATTAAAAAGAAACATCCTTCTGCACAATAGAAAACAGGAGTCTAGGCTCAAAATGCAATCAGTGTGAGGGTCTAACATGCTGGGCAGGGCTTCTGTATCTTGGTTTCTTGGGAAAGATGTCAGAAGGAACACACCTTGGACATTCACAAAGCCTCCCACTGCGGCTGTTTGTTTGTGTCATGAAACTGTGGTTTGGTTTGATTTTCCCTGACAACACTAAGTTAAGTACTTTGAGGTGGAGTTGTATTTATGTTCTCCTCTCTGCCTGACAAGCTGTTTGCAAGAGCTGAGTTCTGGGCATTCTTAGATTTGGTTTCCTCTTTGTGGTCTTTCTTGTTTAATGTTAAGGAGTTATTTACACTCATGTCTTCCTGTGTGTTCAGAAGGGTTTTAGCTGCAAACACTAAAAGGATACACGGAGATCCCTGTGTTTTCTTGATGTTCTGCTCATTTCTATACTGGAATAAATTGTTGCAGTAGAGAAAGTGTGTGTGTGTGTGCATGTGCGTGCGTGTGTGTGCATGTTTTTCAGAGTGTATTTCCATAGCACTGGAGCTAAAACTAAGGGAACGTTTCTATATAGACCTCTGAACAAGAAACATCGCATCTCAGTAGTCACAGCACTGTAGTGAGGGATAGAGAGGTGGCTAAAGAATGGCTGATTTTAGAAATTCATATCTTGGCTCATGTGTTTGGGGCTTTATGTTCAGAAATATGCTCAGAGATAAAAGACTAATGATTCCCCATTGTCCCCTTTCTTTAACCCAAGAACAGTAACAGATGCCCAAGATGATTCCTAAATCAGATCCACAAAGAAATGAACTTCAGTGGTCTTTTGTTCCCCCTCTGTAGACAGCAGGCCCCTTCCTGCGCCTCGCCTTGGGCTCCCACATTCCCCTGGGCTCCAGTCACCAGGATGCTGGGGACAAGCTGCCGAGGGGGCTGCTTGCTCTTGAAGCCTGCCAGAAAATGCTGATCTCAAAAAATGGCCAAGTCCTCCTTCAGATGGGAGGATAGGCACCCAGTATTTCTTAGTTTTGTTTTCATGGATTTCTAATTCCTAGCAAGGTGTTTCAAATATTTTCTATTTGCTGTTTCAATTATTCCAACAGCATTATTGCAAAGAATGTGGGAAATGGTAATTATTAGTCTCATCTTGTGCATGAGGACATTGTGGTTCAGGTGGACAGGATCAATTATTCCAACAGCATTATTGCAAAGAATGTGGGAAATGGTAATTATTAGTCTCATCTTGTGCATGAGGACATTGTGGTTCAGGTGGACAGGAAACATGGCTGATTCTGGGAAGCTGGCCCTGGACTCCAGCTCTCCAGTTATCAGGCCAGTCCAAGGTACGTCCACTTTAAAAACAAAAGCAAACACATTTCAATTATTTTTAAAAAATAATATTTTAACTAGAATTTCCAGAATGATAGGCTCAGGAATGTAGCCCAGGAGCAGAATGGGCTAGCTGACTGAGGCAGTCACTGCTGAAAATATGAAGATCATATTCTTTCTTCTTCCTGTTTTTCTTTGTATGAGCTGGTAAATACCACGTATTTAAACCTTGAGAAAAATAGGATAACATGCCATTGTTTTCCATTTTGTAGCTTCTGTCTGGGTTCTTCTTGGTTTGCCCACTATTTGTAGCATTTGGGAGCTGTTGCTTCAAGACAGAATCCTATGAAACCATAGGCCCCTGTGCCAGCATGTTCATGTTTACAGATATTCATGTGTCCTGGCCTTCTTCAAAGATAAAAAAGAAATGAACACGTGACATTGCAGAACACTGTATAATATGATGCAGAATTATACAAAGCATCGTATGTATATGTGTGTAAGATGGGTTTCTTTCATTAATTCTTTCTAGACTTGTCTGATGTTTACTGAATGTTTTTTTAATGTAAGAATGAGACCTGGAGCTTTATCAAACCAATCTGCATAACACAACCTGGAAATATTTGTCTACATACAAAAGGATTTAGAAAGGTTTTAGCTGTTAATTATAATACACTTTATGGCCTGGCTTCCATACAAATCCGATTGGTCTGAAAGCCTATCTGAACAGAGAGCAAGCAGACCACATCAGCTTCTTTCTAGTTTGAACTTTAATCTTCAAATTCACTCCCATCCTATGCCCACACCCTCCTCCGAACATAAAATATTTTTAGAGGAAACAGCCATTAATGACTGAGTCAGTTGCATGAGAATTGGCTTAATCCTGCAGCCAGCACTTCAAAGTAGCTACTGGCTTCACTGCAGCCCAGCTGGAATTCTTGAACCATGGCAGGTAGAGAATGGATAAAGGATGGTCTAAGAAGAGGCCCAAGTCCCTGGGCTGCAAAGCTTCCTTACATGTTACACACCAACCTACATGTATT